CTCATTAACTGATTCTTAATAAAAAAATTAAAGAGTTACATTCACAGTAACATGCCAGCACTGGCTACTTCCAAGCATTTACATTTGTTCTTTTCTCCTGGTTCCCCTCCTCCCCTCAGTCCCCTCCCCAGTCTCTCACTAGGGATCTCTATTCTAGATAGTTCACATAAATGGAATCAGACCTTTTGTGTCTAGCTGCTTTCACTGAACAAAATGTTTTCAAGGTTCATGGAAGTCACACCAGGTACTTCATGCATTTTTTTTTCTTGGCTCAGTAAGATTCCGTTTTATGTTTATCTGTTCATCTTTGATGGACATTTGGGCTGTTTCCACCTTTTGGCTGTTGTAAGCAGTGCTGCTGTGAACCCCAGTGTATTTGTGTGTGTTTGAGGACCTGTTTTCAATGCTGTTGGTCTGTAGGGAGGAGAGGAATTGGCAGGTCATGTGATAAGTCCATGTCTAACTGTTTTCTATAGTGACCGGACCATTTTACATTACCACTGGTAACGGACAAGGGTTCCAGACTCTCCACATCCTTCCCAGAACTTGGTATTTTCCATTACTTTGTTTTTATTGTAATAGCTATCCTAGTAGGTCTGAAGTGGTACCTCATGTCTTGTGGTTTTGATTTGCATTAACCTAAAATTGATGGTGTTGAGCATTTTTTGTGTGTGCTTGGTGGTCATTTGTGTATTGTGTTAGGCACCTTTCCACTGCTGTAATAAATACCAGAGGTAATCAACTTCTACAGAGAAAAGCTTTACTTTGCCTTATGCTTTAAAGGTTCTAGTCCATGATCAAGCAGACCCATTGCTGTTGGACCTTGGTGGGTGCCAGATGGTGATGACGAGTATGCAGTGGAGCAAAAGAGAGCAAGGAGGGGCAGGACCATGTTTCCTTCCACAGGACACTCCCAGTGTTCCACAGGCCTCCCACTTAGGAGGCCACTAGAATTTCTCCTAAATTCTGTGCCGCTGCATCCTAATACCACCACGTTAGCCCTGAGCCTGTAACACACAGGCGTTTAGGGACATTGAGATTTCTCTCTTTTTGTTACTGAGTTACAAAAGATCTTTTTTATAGTTGAGATACTAAATCCTTATTAGACATGCAATTTGTAAATATTTCTCCCTTTCTGTAGATTGCCTTTTTATTTGTAATGTCCTTTAATGTACAAAAGTTTTTAATTTACCTTCTTTTCATTGTTGCTCATGCTCTTAGTGTAGTATCTGTGAGTCTTTCACCAAATCCAAGATTAAGGAGATTTAGTCTTATGTTTTTTCGTCATTGTTATTTTAGGTCTTAAATTTAAGTTCTTGGTCTATTTCAAGTTTATTTTCGTATGTAGTATGAGGGTAGGAGTCCACATTCATTCTACTTTTTTTGTTTGGTTTATTGGAAGTTTTAGCATTTGAACTCAGTCTCGTGTTTACTAGATAGGAACTTTGCCACTTGAGCCATGCCCCCAGACCTTGATTCTACTTTTTGTAGCTGCCGTAAGTGCCAAAATGCATTTAGTATGTGACTTCTTTGAAATGTGTTGTTAGCGGTCACAATGAAGCAGGTTTTTCTGAACCCTAGTGGCTATGACAGCTCAAATACTTCCTGCTCATTCTGCACTACTGTCACAGTTTGCCTAGGGACCCTGGTTTGTAGGACAGAGCCTGACAGAGTACTCACCCTTTGGAAGTCACTGTGGAAAGGGCAAAGTCTTTCATGCTCAGGCTCCTCAAGGCTTCCATTTGGACTTAATTTGATTGATCCAGGCAAATTATATAGCTGTGGCCAGCTTGAAGAAATAAGCACAGCTCTACCAGAGGCCCAGGAGGAGTATAGGTGGTGCACAGTATGCACCAGAGAACGCCATGAAATGTGTTGTTTGCAAAAGATTTGAGGTACTTGTTCCAAGATATAAAAAATTAAAAATACGCCCTTTTGAAAGGATTTAAAAGCATTGTTTCTTCAAAATTTTATACTCACTGTGCTTGATAAGTTACTTTGCATTATTTATAAAGAAAAATTGCTTAGGAAGTGCTAATGTTAGTAAAATTTAGTGAAGAGATTCTTTGACTCAATTTAGTAAAACAGTTTTCAAGTAACTTAATAGGTTTTATTTATGTTTAGGGAATTTGGGTGCAGATTCTTTATTTGTTAAAACTTTTTGCCAAAATTTTGCAAAAAGAACTAACAAAATTGAGAAGCATTAAATGCTATTACTTTTATCAGGATTTTAAATTTAAAAACATTTAAAAGTTGAATAGCTTGTAAACCTTATGGATTGGGATAAAATAGCTGGTGTGACACCCATAATTCAGCACTGGAACTGGGTCACCCACAGAGTAACAACAATTTGAACTTAATTTATAGTTCCATCCGTTATTTATTGTACCTGCATTACAGAAGTATAAAAATTGAAGTGTATAGCATTTCCAATATACTATTGAATATGTTGCTGAAAATGTGACATTAGATGTAGGGAACAGTATTACAGAACACCAGCAGGGGTCAGCCCTAGCCTACGGAACTGACTGCTTATTTGCCATGTGTTTTGAGCATTTATTCATAATTTATTTTTGTATTTTTAAAAGTATTCTAATAGCTACGGTTTTCTCAAGGTCAATGTGCTTACATTTAAATGAAAACACAGCGTACTTACTTGTTCCTAAAGATGTGGTGATGCCCTCTTGGTAGCAGAAGCACTTTTCATTGCTTAATTGTATGTATAACTACAACTCAAAAGCACTAGTTCATTTTGGAAAGATTAGGATGCTGTCTGATGGAGCCAAGTAAGCTCCAGAAAGAATGACTGGGGGGGGTCGTATGAGTTAACCCACATACAGTATTGATACTGTAGCAGTTGAAATTAGATGCCTGCCAGACAGCATTTCTTTTCTGCCCACATCTTTCCTTTTCACAAGAGCAGCTGTAATTAGGCCTCTCCACATACTTCTCTTGTTTGTCCATGATGCTTTGTGTGCATGCCAGTAAAGGGAAGTGCATCTTCTTACTGAGAGAGATACCAGTAATCAAGGAAACATTCCAGGGTGTAGCTTCTGAGGAAGGACGTTTTAAAAAACCTCATAGCATGTATTGATGTCAGAACACAAGAGGAGAGAGAATCACAGCTTGTATCATTTGAAAACTCCAAGTGTTTCTGTCAACAGTAGGTATTCCATAAAGGCTTCATTCCCTTTATAATAATAACCATATTCACTGAGACTTGCTTATCAAAAAAAAATCAAGGATGTGAGCAGCTTGGATACTGATGCTAAATATTTAAATATATTTGTATGCCAATATGAGATTGATAATTGATCATGCCATTTCATTATCTAAAATGAGCCACTGATTTCCACTATGTTTAGAATTTTTAAGAAAGTTATTCCTTAGTATAAAATATAAGCCATTAATTATTTAATGATCTCTTCCTTGCAACTCTGCAAAATCATTATATATCTTTATACTGGATGGCTGTACATACCAAATTAATGGCATTTGTCTTCTTGATCTAAACAGATCTCAAACTGAATACAGTCTAATCAACTAATCAATTATGTAACAGTTCATACTATGTGTATCACATTTAAGGTCTCATTCTGATTTCTTTCAGTTATAAAGGTCATATCTGCTTAGTTAAAATCTAAATAACACACTAGGTGGAGAATAGCAATCCTAGTCCTTTTCGTAATGATAGTCACTGTCACAAAGCTTCTATATGAAAATTACTTTGTTGTTTCAACCCTAAAAATTTCTAGTTCCCAACACTTTAGTTTTTCTATGGATACAGTTGTTTCTTTAACAGATTTCTTTAAGGAGTTACAGCCAAATAGATTGTATTTGCATTTTCTTAGTCACAGTCACAGCTCCTCACTTTGGCCCTTTTCACAAGGCTTACCAGAGCTATCCTTCTCTCCACCTCATGTCAACATCTTATAATTAATATTTGTCTTTCAAATTTGACCTAATTTTTTCTGAAAAGCCATTCTTGATTTTTTTGTCATTGATATCTAGCTTACCTTACAGTGTGTTTAAATATAGAATGAGAAAATAATTCCTTTTTGTATGTTCCTTTGATCTTAACTTACATCTTTGTGTACCTGTAAATTTGATCTCTCTCTCTGTCTCTCTCTCTCTCTCTCTCCCTCTCTCTCTGTGTGTGTGTGTGATTACTTATATATGCAGGCTGGCTTTCAGCTATCTACAGGAGGTATTTCATTTTCCCCTACCCCAGCCTTTGTTGCTTTCAACCTATGAGTAGAAATGTAGGATTTTTTCCCCACGGAACGTCACTCTTCCCCACAGCCACTTTCCTTTCCCAGCGACACCACACCTCTACTTTAACCTCAGGACTTGGGCCAGGTCCTGTGCTCTCTTGGACAGCATTAGCCCCATCCCTACTCAAGTACCTGGGGGACCTTGTGGGGTTTTTCTCACTATCTCTTTAGGAGCAGGACTTGGGAGTTTGAGGGATATGTTACTTTATTAGGCTTCTACAACCAGGTACCACAAACGGAGTGGCTTAAACAACACGCATTTATTTTCTCAGTTTTGGAGTCGATGGTCCAAAATTAGGGTGTAGTCAGGGTTGGTTCCTTTTTGGGACTCTGAGGAGAAGCTGTACCGTGCTTTTCTCCCAGCTTTGGGGAGATTGTGGCAGTCTGGCATTTCTTAACTCACAGTTGTATTGTTCCAGTCTCTGGCTCTGTTGTCATGTGGTGTTCTTCCTCCTGTCTGTGTCTGTTAAGCACCTTTTTATTTCTTCCATGACATGGAATATGAGCTTTCTCATTTCTGTAAGGGACACTGATTTTCACTGTTCAAGTTTGTACATTGTACTGTAGTCTATGTAACCATGAACCCCAGACCTTCTGATTTATTGTTTCCACATTTTCTCAAAATTCACATCCCGCAAGAAGATAGTACTCTGTGTTTAAGCTAATTAGAAATGTTTATACAGTTTTTTCAAAGATAAAATTTAATTCTAAGTTTTTAATTTTCAGCCAGAAAACCTTGCTCAGAAGCTTCCAAACCTTGTGGAACTGTGAGTCTGTTTATTCAAATTTTTAAAAAAACAAGATTGGAAATAATTTGAAGCTATTTGAGATAATAGGATATATCACTTTAATGTATTTATTTGTTACTTTTAGGTGTCATTATCATGGTAATCCTGTAAGTAGAACTGTGGTTCTGCTGAACTCAATTCTGTTTTTAAGAACTTTGCCATTTGAAGTGGCATTTTGTATATCTCAGCTCAGGTGTTGAAGGTGCTCTGGGTACAGTGTGTTGCCAGGGAATCCTTCCTGGAGAGCCCCTGTGATTGGGAGAACTGGTTATTCTTATTCTTCCATGTGATACTTGGTACGAATGTGAGATAGCATAATGTTTAAAAGTCTCTTTTCCTGCATCCTCCACACCTCGTTAGTTTTAGTTCTTTCGATGACTGCCTACATAATGTTAAATAAATAAATACACCATTGTTTCTGTTTTTGTTTTGCTTTGCTTTTCTTGGAGTGCTGGGGATGGAACCCAGGGCCTTGTGCATATTCGGAAAGCACTTTACCACAGAGCTACATTACTGGCCTACACTTTTGTTTTTAAGTGCATCAACTTTATCTGTTAACTTAACACTAAGGAAAATACATTTAGATCAATTCTTTCTCTTTCTTCCTAACTGCCTTCTAATTTTATTGCTGGAGGATTTGCATTGCTGTTCCTTGTTCTCTTTGTTTGCTGTGATTTTGAAGAGGTACAGAAAGGAAAAGCTAACCTTATCCCTCCATCTTCACACTCAGAATCTCTCATTTCTGTTGTGCTATGCTTTTATCTTGAAAATTCTCAAACTAACAGGAAAATTGAAAACATAGCACAATGAATTCCCACCACTTACATTTAACCAAATTGAACATTTTGCTGCATGCATTTTCTCTCTTTTTCCTACAGACCCACATTTTTTTCTGTGCCAAATAATGTGAAAGTCAGTTGCAGACAGTGTTATTATCATACTTAGGAACAGTAATATTAGCATGTAATATACAGTCAGTTCATATTTAAATTATCCCAATTTTTAAAAAATATTTTTTTAAAGCAGATGTCTAAGGTTTTTTTTGGATTAGATTCTGTTTAAACATTTTGGTGGTGTTTTACTCCATTTATCATATTTTTACTTTCAGTCTCTTTATACATACACACACATATGTATTTTATTTAAAATATATACATATATATGTATTTTAATTTTTTAAGTCACATACATAGTGGTTTTTTAAAAATTCTCTTCTTTTCTGGAATCATCGTTTTCCAGAATGATGTGGAAGTGTGCTAGAGATAGTGGGCATACTTGTCTTTTTTTCTGACCTTAGTGGGAGTTCCTATAGGGTTTCCTATTAAGAAAGATGCTAGTTTTACAATTAAGGTATATGTAGTCTATCACATTAAGCCAATATTCACCTGTATTAATTATGTGTTGTTGCTTACCAAATTACCCCAAAATATAGAAGCTAAAAGAATGAACATTTATCCTCTTGTATTTTTTTGAGGATCCAGAATATGGACATAGCTTAGCAGGATGCCTCTGCCTCTAGATCATTCAAAGGCTGTTCATTCCAGACTGTTGGACAGGCCTGCAGTCTCCTTGGAAAAAGGTTCCTCTTTTGTGGTCATCCATGAGATTATTGTCAGGATTCAGCTCCTTTCAGGCTATTGAGCTGAAGGACTCAGTTCCTTGCTGGCTGTTGATTGGCCAGAGGACTCCCTCAATTCTTTGTCATTTGGTTTTCTGTACTGTAGCAGCCAGTTTCCATTAGAGCAAAGAAAAGAACAAGAGTGTGTGGAAGGCAGAAACCATAGTCTCCTCTTGTGTAATCGTTGCTCTGTTTTTGTCTAGTGGAAGTGAGTCACTAAGGTATAGCCCACACTCTAAGGGAGTCAGACACAGGATAATGCCAAGTGGTAGAAATCAGTGGAGATTATTTTAGGGATGCTTCTATACCATTAGTCCCCATTTTCCTAAGAATTTTATTCATCATGGGGTGGAATTGTTTTCAGACTTCAGAGCTAATAAAAAAAATCCTTGAGCCCCTCAGGTAGTAAGGTGAAATAGTCATGAAGAGGAAGACTGTTCATCATACTCCAAACTGAATTATGTGTACAGTGCCCGTTGAATTTCAGCTTGAGAGTTTGTTTTTTTGAGCTCTTTAAAAGTATTTTAACTGTTTTCTGGTACCTAGATTTTCATCAGAAGTCAGAGGTATTTTAATCTTTTTCCAGCTCTGTGTAATGGGGTCATTTTCCTTTGTCTGCTTTCAAGAGTTTCTTTTTATCTTTGGATTTTAGCAATTTAACTCTGATGTACTAACTATGATGATTAAAAAAAAATTATCTTAGAATTTGCTGAGCTACTTCAATCTATGAATTTATGTCTCATCGAATTTGGGATATTTTCAACCATTATTTCTTCAAATACAGCCATGTGCCATATAACAATTCAATTAATGATGGACGTATTAACAAAAGTGGTTTGTAGCATTGTATCTTCTAGTGATGTCATCGCTGTCTTAGTTGTGTTAAGTATACTCTATGATGGTCGCACAATGATAAAATCGCTAACAACTTGTTTCTCAGAATGTAGCCTGTCATTCAATGACACACAACTGCTTTAAAAATTTTTACATAATCCATTTTTACTTTTTTAAAATTTATTATATTATATTTGTACCAGGGTACTTTATGACATTTACAAAAGTGATTACAATATATCTTAGTTAGATTCACCCCTTCATCTTTCTCCTTTATCTTCAAACCCCCACCCTTCTCAGAAGTTTCAGTAGGTCTCATTGTTCCATTTTCATATATGAATAATAGTACTTCTACCATATTTGCCCTCCTTCACTCTTTCTGCTCTCGCTACTCTCACTGGCACTCACCCACTGGACAGGGCTTTTGTTTTTTACCTTCCTGTTCCTCGTTTTTTTTTAAAAAAAAAAAAAAAAAAAGAAAAACATTTATATTAGTTTGTGATGGCTATACAGGGAGTTTCATTGTGACATCTGTATAGATTATAACTCAAATTGGTTCATACCCTCCATTATTCTCCTTTCTACCTTAGTCCTCTTCTTATGGTGATTTCTACAGGTTTGAATATTCCACTTGTATAGGAAGTACATAAACCGTATTCACGTTCTTTATGTGCCTTTCCCACTCCTTCTTGAACTGCATTTATCCGTTAGATCTGTTGCTGTTATACTTCCAAGTCTCTGTTGATATTTTCTTTGATTTCTTTCTCCTTTTCAGATTAGATCATTTATATTGTTCTTTTGTCAAGTTCACTGATTTTCTTTGGTCATGTTCATTCTGCTATTCAGCTTCAACCCATAAATTTTTAAGTATCTGTTTTTTTAAGTGTCAGTTTCTCTGTTGAGGTTTTTTTTTTTTAAATTACAGGTTGTAAGGAATGCTTATAATTTTACATTGTCTCAGCATCCATTAAGTTGGACTTTCTCATACCAGAAGCAGGGCTCAGTCACTCTTGACTCAGTTCCCAGTTCTATGCCCCCTCCCACCTAGATCCTCATTGCAGGGGATCCACATATTTGACTTGCATAACTGCTTCCTGTTGGCCACTTCCACATGGGATAGCTAGATGCAACCTGATTGAACCCCCTGACCCTCACAGATGTGCCATAGCAAGTGTTTCCCGGTCATTGTCTGACCTGGAACCTCATGCCTGCTCGCTTTATACTCTCCAGGAATACCCTCCAGGAAAACTGGTGAGAACCTGTTTGGATAATGCCCTGGATCCCAATAAAGGCATTGGCCCACAGATCCCTGTCTCTCTCCCTACTTGTACTCCCTGACATCTATTTGGCTTTCAGGTGTACTCTGTAAGGCACCCCCCCCCATTCTTTCCTAAGACCTGTAAATAACAAAATCTGTATTTCCATCTTGTGTCTTTCCTAATCATGAAAGGTGCTTTTTGTCTTAAAGATCCTAAATTAAAGCATAGGTATATTTTGTTTTTGGTGATGATCTCAAAAAGGATATAGTAGCTACTTTTAAAAGTCCTTACTTGCTAATTCTAACATCTGAGTTTATCTTAGGTTGCTCTCCATTGTTTATCTTTGCTGGTGTTGCTAATGGATCACATTTTTCTGGGTTTTCGTAGGTTGAGAAATTTTAATTCTAGATTATATCCTAGGAATTGGGAATGTTATGTTTTGGAGACTGGACTCTATTATATTTTCTCAAAGTGTGTTAATATTTTTGTTTTAGTAAGTCATTTACCTTGTATGACTCTAACATACGATCTTCATATCTTGAAGGACAACTGGTCTAGTTTTTGTTTGCTTGTAAACTGCTCTAGTTTTTTTTTTTTTTAATCTTTAGCTGTAGTGTCTTTCACATATGCATAGTTCTGGGGTTTATCATTGATTTATGTAGGATTTGTGCATAGACTTTGGGCTTCCCTTCCCTGGCTCTTCTGGTATTCTTCGTTTCCTTCCTAGTAGCTGTGGTTGCCCTCATATCTGTTGTCTGTTTTTGTTTTGTTTTGTTTTTTTTCTATTAGAAATTTAGTCACTTTGCATGGTATCTTGCTGCCTATACCTTGCCTTAGGCTAAATGCTCTTTTTTTAAATAAAAAAACCTTAAACTTACCTAGTCCCACTCTTTTCAATATTTGAGTCATGCAGAATTGAACTGCAAGCCTTAGGATTGGGCATTTAAGTGTGTGTTTTCTTTGGTGTTTTTGTTGTTACCTTCCAGAGAATCAGTCTAGTAGCTTATTCTGCTATTTTAACTTGTCTGTTTCTTTATATTTAAAGTGGATATTTTGAAGTCATCATTAGTTGGTTTGCTGGGTTTTGTGGGTTTTTTTGACTACTCTGACAATTCGGGCCTTTTTACTGGCGTATTTAGACTATTTACATACATTTAATGTGCTTACTGGTATTATTGAGTTTTAAGCCTACTATCTTGTTACTTGTTTTCATTTTGTCCCAGCAGTTCTTTGTTATTTTTCTTCTCCTTTCTTCCTTTTAAGTTATTCTAGTCTTATTTGGAACACCATTTTAGTACCACTATTGTCTTATTAACGCTGCCTTATTTCAGTGTTACAAGGTTTATAATTTGTTTCTGTAACCTAGCATAATCTATCTTAACATCATATTATTATCACTTCACATACACATGTAATGTAAGAACATTTACATTAGTGCTTCCAGCTCATCCTTCCCATCCTTTGTGCTGGTATCATAAGGTTTTTTTTGTTTGTTTGTTTTGTGTGTGTGTATGTATCTGTCAGGGTCCAGTTAAGAGACAAAAAAACACTCCTAGTTTATTTTAACAAATAATGGATTTTTGGTTTGATACAGAGTCTTTCTATGTAGTCCAGACTAGCCTCCAACCTGCAATTACCATCCTTTAGCCTCCTCAGAGCCACCATGCCATACTAACACCCCTCATTTAAATAGAGGTTAAGGGACACTTTATAGAGTTTGGAATTACTTAGTGTAAAAGAGCAGCTGCTGCCTGTGGGCTAGGGTAAGTAGACAATAAAAAAACTAAAGACTTAGAGCCCCAACTCCAGGCTGAGATTTAGACGTCTCTAAAGGAGGTATGGCTGCCTCAGGAACATACAGCTGCTGGTGTGGAGACTAGCGGAGCTGGTCTGCGATAACAGCTCAGGGTTGCAGGAGATGTTGGCAACCTGGAGCTGGTCTTCTGAAGGGCCCAGCCTGTGTGCCAGTGTGGCAGAACTACTGAGGAAGCAGCCGCAAGGTGGCACGACAGTTCCCTGATGTGGTTAAAGCTGTCTTGTAGAAGTGCTTTGCTGCATGGGGAGTGTGCCTGAGGCTGCACCAGAGCTGCTACAAAAGTGA